TTAACTACTACTACTACTACTACTACTACTACTACTACTACTAAATAATACTGTTCGTTTTCTCGTAGCGGGCCATTCAGACATAGAGTACAGGTTGTAGCTTCTTCTCAATGCATAAGAACCCGGCATATTTTGGAGAACCCTTGATCAGCTATTCGTTACGGACATGTGCATTGGGCATTGATTTTTCTTCTTCTCCTTCCATCTGCCCCCCCCCCCCCCCCCCCCCCCCCCCCCCCCCCCCCCCCCCCCCCATGGGGTGGGGCGGCGAAGAAGAGATTCCCCCCGGGGGGGGGGGGGGGGGGTAGCATACTGGTACGGAGCATGGACGGTATTACATGTAGTCTTACTCGTACAATGTCAGCCGCCCAACCCCCGTGTCGTAATAACATCCGGAACTATGCCCTGGGGCCTGGAAGGATGATGGGCTACGGTGAGAGGGAAAAGCCCGGGGGTGGGCAAGGACCACGAACTGGGGGTTTAATGCTGGTTAATGGGACCCTGCCCTGCCCCTCCTAGCAGAAGCGCGGGTTACAGCTATTCACATGCTTGTTAAAAAAAATTTTTTTTTAAAAAAAAAGGTAAAATAAAGCGTCAAGGTGATAGCCACGATGGGCTCGCTGATTGTCAAGTACGGAGTATTCACACCATATCGGTCAGGTAAGAATAGATTACGATAGCACGGATCCGTAGATGGACGCGTATTAATGTAATAGTATATCAACGTATTATCGGCTCTGCTCACAGCCAACGAGAATGCCTGTCAAAACAAGGTAATACGAGTATTGCAACAGCAAACCGGAGAATACGACGTCATATATACCCCGGTTCTGGAAAGAAGATAAAGAAGAAGAAGGCTGACGAGAATCACTTGCAGTGGTAGACCGTCACAAGACATCTTGCGGGAGGTTGAATGTGCTGCTGCTGCTGCCGGTCTTCCACCTCTTGCCCTTTCGCGCCTGACGTGCTCTGTACAGTGTAATTGACGTACGTGCATGTATGTACCTTGGAGAGATCGATGATGGAAAGCATGCCCAGCCTGCCCAAGGCACTGAGAGCATGAGACAGATAGAGAGCGTGTCTTCCCTCCTCCCACCACGTAGTGCCGATGCCAAGAATGTGAAGCAAACTCGTAGAGACTCTGTTTACACACACAACACACACACACACACACACACATATATATATATACTTGTATGTATCATGCCTGGTTGATGATCGCTCCGTACTCATAGGCCATCCAACGCACGACTGGATGCGTACGCATCATGTACGGAAAGAATACTCGATTGGGAAGCTAGGGCGCAGGCATGGATGGATGGGACTTGGGGGACCCCCCAAGCCCAAGCCAGACGTACGCCCTATTGGGGGGGGGGGTAATTAATGTCAACACCTATACGTGATTCTAGTAACGGAACAAGTTACGAGGGCTTCAGGTGCTGGCAGCTACGCTTCGATAGCTACCGACCAAGGAGTGCGTGCGTACGGAGTATTACTGGTACTATGTATGCACCTGTATAACTTCTATTGCTGACAAGTATCGCTACTGCCAGTACGGCTAGTAATTAGTAATGCTGCGAATTAAACCTGGCGGCTTCCACCATAGCAATCTGGTATCCATACTTGACGCTCGTAACACGTACGTACTCCGTAGTTCGAGTCGTATTCAGATGTGATGACAGGACATGTGGCAACTCAGTCGAGAGACGCGAGCCAACCCTCTGTCTCGGGGGGTTCCATCCTGTCTTTCCCTCCGTCTGGGCGTGAGAGTTGTGTGAGTGCAGTGCGCTATTGGAAGAGAGGCCGCCGCTTTTACTCCGTAATCCGTAAATTCGAAATTGAGAAAGAGCAAGAGGAAGAGGAAGAAGCAAAAAAAAAAAAAAAAAGATAAATGACTGTGTCATGGTCAGGGGGGGGGGTTGTTGGCCAGGCGTACGAGTATATTCGAGCAATCCATGTTGCTTGCTCTCACCAAGCCCATCACTTCGGTACATATGATAGTACTAGTAGTACTAGACGTAGCAGGTAACTTATACATGTATCCGCACGGAATACACGATCGAACCCTTTGCAGCAACTACCATGGCAGGGTTCTGAACATGCTCATTCTGTGTACAGATTACGACCAATACAATACGTACGGGTAAACTCGTCCTCGTTTACATATATATATATATATATATACATGCACTCTGTACACACGAAGCACTTGACTCGGCCTCTGCACGTTTTGCCTGCCTGCCGGTCTACCTTCCCGCCACGCTGGTCTCCGCCTTCCCTTTCATGTTCCACCGCCGCCGAGGCCGCCACAGCCCTGTAGGGAGCAACGGACCACCGTCCAGAGCAAGGGTAAAGAAGCTACGAGGATTTTAGCTAAGAGGGCATGCGAGTTATAAGTACCGAGTACGAGCGGACTGCACCAGGGTCTGGGCTAATATGGAGTTAGTCGCACTCGGGTAGTGAAATACCTGCGTAATACAGGGTCACCGTAATGGGAGTGGGGAACTGGGTAGACGGGGGGTTGGGGGGAGGGGAGGAGTCGACAGCTACCTGTACAAGTGTTCAGTATGGAGTAGTACAAGGTCGTAGGGCCAAGGCATGCTGCGTCTTTGACTTTCCTCTTACTACTTTGGGGATCCACATCATCTTCCTGTCGTATGGGATTGGGGGGGAGGGGGAGGGG